AGAGAATTTTGATGGAAAGCCAAGCACCATGGAGACGGTCGGTCATTTCTGGGTTAACTCTGGAAAGTTCAATGCGGTCGACAGAAAAGAGCACATGATGCGTAACTTTGACGCAAGTAAATCAATTTATCGCGTTAGATTGACCATCAATCGTGCCGAGGTTCAAATCCAAGTGCTGATAAACGTTTAGGATGAACCACCGTATTTCACGCTAGTTATGGGTTGGAGACATTGATACTGTTTACCCAATGATTACTTATAGTGTTGGTAACTGTTGTGCCGTTTAACGCATTTGTTCGATAACAGTTGTATTCATTGCGCAACATCAATTCTCGCTACACACACAGACGTACAGACATACACGCAAGAGACATGGAAGTTCCTCACATGCAACCTTGATTACATTGACGAATCAGACTGCACCACGTGTATGCTTGGTATTGATTGGATGACTGCTTATTACTAGTACGCCCAGTACCGGCTGAGGATATACTTCTGCCATATTACATGAATTACGTTGGTACCGTTTTCTGCTAATTAAAAGCATCTACTTACGTGCATATTACGAGTTTTACTGAATACAACAGTAACCATATCTGTTCTCATGGATGTCTTGTTATACCATTGTGACCGCACACATGACACAGACCCAAAACACCTACTCCTGATAACTCAAACCAATGCCTTATTATGATCAGAGTGTTACATGGAGCTAGAATGTTGACTAATTATTGTGTCATCATTCCATCCTCTCGAGCCACTCCCCCCCCCCAGGTCAAACTAAACATTTTGACATACATTATGATGTGTAATTTTATGCATTAGCCTGTAGATGAATCAAATCAGACGAGGCGGTATAAGAAGACTGAAAACCTTGACAACTCACTTGAAAATATTTCACACGGGAAAAGTGTAAACGCAATATGCTTTGCAGTTGCAAATCCGGTTTACACGGATTCATAAACACCACTTCTACATCACTTCGTTGTCGATCCTCGTGAAGAAAATCGGCGAGAAATGTTTTCACTGAATCTGTGGTAATATTTCCACAGACCACAATGTGTGATTTGCCTTCCTGTTTCGTATACCAACCGGAATATTTACGTGAGGTGAGAAACATGTCCGCGATCTCCGGGATCGCACTGGCAAATGTAGCCAAGGCGAACAGAATGAACAGGCAGACAAAACATTTGCCCAAAAATGTAGCCGGTGTCACATCCCCGTACCCGACCGTGGACATGGTCACAATGGTGAAATACATCGCCGTCGGATAGGTGATCGGATTAGTCACCTGATACGCATCCGGTCCGATCAGATTCCCCGTATTCTCCAGGAGCAAAATCATTCCCGCACCGGATAACCAAATGGACATGAAATACGTGCACAATTGGCACATACGTAAACTGGATGCGGAACGGACCAATTTCAGATTATGCAACACTTCACCCAAATTGATCAAACGGAACACACGAAGGAAACGGAATCCAAGCCAACTACGTTTGATAAAAAATCCGAACAATGTGGGCGGTACGGTGAAATAGTCCAAAATTGAGTACCAATCGATCCAAAATAGAAGTGCGTCTCGACAGGCGATGAAACGTACAATAAAATGGATGAAAAAAAATATATTCATCGCGAAGTCCATGGTCCGCATTCGACGTCCTTTGTGTCCACATTTCTCAATATCCGTTGGGAAGAATGTGGCCTCATAGACGTAGATTCCGAAAGAGCACAGACTCATGATCATACTGAGCGCGATGAATGCACGTCCGGGGAGCCACTGATAGCTGACTAGACGCACGGCAAATAAATGTACATATTGCACCATAGTATGACACCCGGATTTGAGACGATTCCCCACTGTGGGTGGGGTATTCGTTCCGAGCACCGAATGACTGAACGATACGACAGAACTTTGCGCGCGCAGTTCCATTTCTTCTTGGGCAGTTGGGCTGGCATTGATTGAGTTTAAGGACTGGGAACATGCCCATCGGCCAGGGGCGGTGCTCATTCGACTACCACGGTCACGCAAAGCCATCGGTTCGGGTGTACTAACCTCGGGTGGTTCGGATGTACTAGCACAAGTACACAGTTTTGTGATTATCTGCACCACCATACGATAGAGAAGAATCAACAGAATTCCGCCGAAAAAACAGGTCAACGAGGTGCTGACAAACACCGGCCAAAATCGAGTGGCCATACACGGTTCATCGTGATCCGGTTTCTCTCCCGGGGCATGTGAATGATTCGATCGGACCACAACTTGACCCATTATCTGAAATGATGCATTTGTGGGAATGGAAAGAGAAGTAATGATTATGATACAAACGGGTTCCGGAGAGAGAGCAGAACAAACAGAAAGACGAATGCTTTGAGAATCGGACCAATAAGACACATAAATCAACTCAATATAACTGTCAAAAACAAAAATATACCGTGTGCTTTATTTAATTTGACTGTGGGGGTCAAGAAATAGACGAATCCGGTAGCGATTTACGTCAAACATGCGACTGACGTTTACTGATTGACAATTCCGCAATATCTCCACAGTGCTAATAGGGACAGAATACTATACAGTCGATAACTAGATAGACTGATGAGAGAGATGTGAATCACCCCTAAAATTGATAGTTTTCAGTTGATATAGGAACCCAGACCCACACACACACACCTGCATTTCTCTCCAACCTAGGGATTGACCTATGATACCATAGGACTTCAAATTAAAGAGACTTCTGGACTGACTAAACGTCTTCCAGAGTGCGTATGAGTCATACGCGTTGGATACCGTCTCCATGTGCCTGCTTTTGTATTGTTGCCCAGGCGACTGTTGTAATCACTGCCACGGTACACTGGGAATACCAGATGGTGAAGCTTGTCCCCCATCAGGTGCAGCGTTTCAGCCTACCGAATCGTAAGTCATAAGCACGCCGTTACTCTCTCTCTCTCTTGGTAATCACATCAGGGAGTTGCATATTCGATTCCAATAATTGCTTCCCTTGAGTGGGGCACACAAGGAGTAGCATTTGAATGACGAAATTAAACTTACCGGCCAGAAAATAACTGGTTTCGAGGTCACGACCGCTTATCAGGCATGTGCACGGAGCAATCACTGACAAGAGACATTATACATGAACTTGTATTTATCCGTAGATTACCAATTTCAATCTCCGGGTGCACATATTCTGACATTTTCCCCAAGTGCAGACATAACCCTACACCCTTGCTAGAGCCCGGTTCACCCTTACTAATCAGCTAATTTCATATATCTGACTGCTTTTTTGGACACGTATCAGCGAATTACCTACGTTGATTTAGCTATTTTACTAGTGGTAACCAATATGAGATTAAATTGCGTCAACGTTTGTGCATTCAAGCCTACTCAAAAGCATTAACATGATTTGCTCGAATTGCAGTTAACCTCAAGGAATCGCGCATCGAAGAGGCTTGGAACGACCGCTTAAAACCAAATGTCCCTTGGTCAAAGGTTAGCTTGGTTCGCAGTTGAGTGCCATCTGTACGCCACCCAAGTGTCCACTTGTCTGTCCAATATACGCATTCCCACTCGTTGACTCGTCACGTGACCTAGCTCACAAGCGCGCTGACACCGCTTGTCATTCACGTGACGCACGCACATACACTGTGACAACGCGTGAAAGTCACGACCACGAGTTCGCACACGCACGAACCGCAATAGTCACCTGCTTCACTGATCCATGCAGGATCCTAACCAATCAGTGCGCTCGACCTTGTGCCATTCGCCCATCAGCATTAGGTGATTAAGGTAGAACACAAACAATAACGCTTCGGACTGTTACGCACGAAGTCTGTGGTAAGTAATAAGTTTGGCAACTTAACTGAGATGGAGGGTAAATGAGCGAGTAATCAGACAGCTCAGATTTACGTCAAGTACTAACCACGGTGGTTAAATGTCTCACGCGCACTTAATATGTGGGTGTGCAATTATTATTATTGGTTCTAACTGACCACTCTTCAGACTCCGCCTTTGGAATGCTCCTCTATGCATTGCGGTCAGACATCCACAACTCGGAAGCAGAGTTTCCCCGTAAGGAATGTGACTAGAGAGGCCAAAAATACAGGTTTACACAAAGTATCCTGGATCATCTGATCACATATGTACACATGCGTACTACAGTTTATGTGATTATTATCATATAGTCATTATGGATGTGGGAATTTGACGTGGGACGGATGAATCAATGAGAAGATCTGTGCACCGAAAGTATCCATGGTCTAACGCATGTCTTCATTTTACCAGCTCTACAGGGCGCGACAGATTTGCACATCAGATACCCTAGCTAACGAATGTGATCAGATTAGAGAATCTTTACGATCAAAAGGATATTCAAAAGGTTTCATTTCAAAACACTCATAACTCTACATGGGAAAAGACAACGGGTGCAGGTAAGATGAGAGCTGGTTGACTACCAATCGTTTAAAACATGGCATTAGGCCAATCTACTATGATCCTGCCGTTGTTTTCTCAGTCTCCTGGTTGTCAAACTCCTCGGTGAAACAACCGCTCACCCCGATCTGGCTTCATAAAACAAAGATTGGAAACTCTGATAGTAAGACGTTATTGATGGCAGGGGGACGGGATGGGAGGGGGGGGGGAGGAACTTGGTTCATCTATCACACAACATCTGGTCGTCATACGACAGGCTTAGAAGAACATTCAGAACCCCATACAACACAACTAAAACCGAGATTCTGAAATACCCCGAGGCACGGGTGATTCTTAATTACCATCCTCAATGATGTACACATTGTGAATGGCTTATCATTCTGGCGCTACCTTGGTGGTAAGCGTATTTGGTGAATGATGTTAATCGTCATCCTTTTTTGAGTCTATGAATTTGTAACTTCTGATTAGAAATGCAGCTAAACGATCCCGGTATATGTATATGAATGACTATCGAAACGAGATCCCAAACGACCGAGCAGTAAAAACAATAATCAATCTCTGTTCTCTCGTAGTGTTGCTTGATTTGTATAGCCCTAGGCACCCAAGATTCATGAAGCATTAGAAACGATTGAGCAGAAAAGCACTGCACACTACCACCACGAGTTCGTATGATGATTAATCGATTCGATAAAGATCTTATTACACAGTTTTGCATTCGCTCTCTCTCTCTCGCACACACACACACACACACGTAGTAACCTCATCCCCAGTGTTGAGTTATCTAGTCACAAGATTTGCTCTGAAGGATAAACGGTAATCTTGCTCATTTGAATCAGTAACCAGACGATCGCGCTCTCTCTCTCTCACACACAATCACAGGTGTGAACACAGTGATGGCTTGCAAATAACACGTACCGGAGAAGATTCACCGATTAAACAACCAGTTGAGAACCATGTTCCATAAGAACCGGAACTTAACTAAAACGCGATAAGCTGGTTAATCCTCTCCGAAATACCCAGTTCGTGAAACAACACGTGACCTGTTTTACTTCACCAGTTTCGCATTGATTCACTTATCAATGGGAAATAACAGAGCATTAGTATTCACCAATTTGCACCGGATGAATCATCATGCTATGCTAATTGTCCAACAATGAGGTAAAACATCTTCCGGTATCAGATCGGATCACTTAATCTAGACGTGAAAGGAACCGATAGAATCAGCCTCAGAACACAGTTACGAACGTGTTGATTTCGAAGACCACGCACCAGATACCCGGGCACCGCTTATCCAAATGTGCACAGATGTGAATCAAATTCCAGTCACAACAACCTACAAGTGCCTTTAGGTGGCATTCATCTCTCTTTGTGTGTATGTGTGTGTCTGTATGTGTATGTATGGGTTTTGTTCATCTTCGAATCGGGGAACACATAACGTATGAAGTGTGATACAAACCATTCCAACCAAGAACGTCAGTGTCGCTGCTCATCAAAGATACTAATCTTGATAGAAAAAATTCACGCTCTTAAACAACTCCGAAATCGGTAGATGGGACCAATCTATCGGCAAAACTAGCGATCATGTTTGAGTTTTATCCAGGTTCATCGAATCGGTGGTAAACCAAATAAACCATCAAATCGCCTGGCGTTTCGGATGCAGCGATTAATGTGTTCGTCCATTCTCTGCTAGGCTGTCACACACACACGCACCTAGTTAACTGAGCAAATCGGTAAACACGAACAAAGGCCCATGACCTGAATACAAGACAATGACACCGATTTGTGGATCTCAATCGGTTGCCTATGGGTTGCCACGACAACAAAATGTTGGTGGTGGTGGTGGCGTTGGTAGCGGAAATGCGGTTAAAATCGACATTCCCATGTAAAAAGAAATACAAATTTCGACAAGAGGAATCAAAAGCAATGCGACACAAATCACGCAATTTCCCGAACATGAGGAAACAAAAGAACAAATAGAATTTGCGGGGTTTTTATCAAAGATTTGACATTGGATGGATTTGCTGCCAGAGAGTACGATTGATGTGCGGCCTTTTCACCGGGACTGGAACTTTCAAGCCTTAAGTGAATTGTTAACCTGTTTGGCTTTCCGGCAGGAAGGCCTGTTAGTTCCTCTTCATGTGTAGGCGCATTTATTGTATGAGCCAACAAACGGTATTCTAAAATCGAAGAAACATTTATGGTATATGCTAGCCAACTACTCGTTTTTGAACGGCAAATCACCCCTTTCACCTATTCCCCTGGAGAGCCAGGATTGACAATGCATGCATCGGCAGCTGTGCCAAACAGTTTATACCGAGATTGACTAGATTTTCCAATTCAAGCTTATTCAAACGTCATCTTCAAAGGAAGGCGATAGATTTTGGACCCTAGAACCCGTCATCTCCAGTTGTGTCGAATCAGTCAAATAACGACCGACGAAAACCGAGGACAACAGTCATCTGGTCTGATCCACACTAACTAATCAATGAGAATCAAGGCCACGGGGATAAGATGTGTGGGTGACCTTTAGTGAAGTGAGAAATCGGCGACAAATCGATTTCCTCGATGATTTTCATCGCATACAAAACAGTGAAAACGCAATCTGGAAAGGTGGGAACAACTCACACCGTATAGCAACACGACCCAACTGAGGATAGAACACAAACACAATACCAATCTTCTTTTACCTCCACGTGATAATGGATAGATCCAGCTCTACAGGTGTACTGCGCAGTTCATATTTGACTAGGTAGTTATGATCAAACGAAATCGTT